CGAGGATATAAGAACGAGGTAAGTTAAAAGTTGAAGTTTTGAGTGAGAAAATAGAGTGAGAAAAAGAGCTAGCAAAGATTTTCGTTTGAAGGTTCTGCTGCCAAATAATAACAGTTTGTGGGGGATTTGTGTTTTCTGTTCAGTAGACAACGAAATATACTTCTAGTAAGCTCGACTTGAATGTTATTCTCCTGATATTTCCTTTTTTCGAGCCTTAAGCGGGAAAACAAATTGATTCAGTGAATAATAAAACTGAAACGTCTCGCCGCTTAAAGTACTCAAGCCTCTGAAGCCAGTTTTATATTATAAAGTTAAGAAAAGTCTGGTATTAGCTTTAAAGTTATAATTTAAAGAATTAGCTTACAATTAACTTTGTCATTTCATTTTTTAGGGAGTAAAGTGATATGCGATGGCGGACAAACTCTACTGTATATCACTGAGGTTTTCTTTTATGGATTATTTACTGAATTACATGTAGGTTAGCTAGGACATTCACATAACCATCATAAGCTTTGAAGTTATTGATACAGTTTAGTATATGTTATAGATGTTTTATATCTGACCTTTTGAATCATAAATAAATGTCATTTACAGTATTGTTGTGACGAGAGGCCTTCTGGGAAGGCTCTCGTCATAATGTCATCGTGCAGGTAAATAAATAAGAGTGTAACCACTCCACTTCTACCAGGCGTTCCTGGTGGTAACTTAAACACATGGTTGTAATGGTTGTATGTAGTCAAGGAGATCTTTTACGATCGAAGTAATTTCGGGTTTATCGATTTATACGAGACTATACGAAGTTATCTAGTAAATCCTGACGTCTGAAATAATCAGTGAAAATACGATCAAGAAACGATTTGTCCTGACCATGTGCGTTCTCAGTTCTCTTCCGATCGTTGTGTTTGTGCTTTCGAAGCAGAGTTGTTCTTCTATTACGGTATAATGTATTTAAACTCTTTTGTGTCTAGAACTAGGCACAACTTTCTTTGCATTTGCAGTCAAGTGTGTATTTCTAAAGAATATTTTAGATTTTGTAGTGGTTTACATAGATTGTTTGACAACAAAAGTCCGATTGCTTCGCTTGGCTTGTTACAGATGAGTCCCGACCGCATGATTACTGTCATTACTAGATTACACATCAAAATGATTTGACCTATGTTAGCTTATGTTGTTGCAGTCTATTTTGACTCATGATGTTAATATTATATGAAAATCAGACTGTTCATAGACAAGAACTTTTATATAATAATGACAATGTTATGTACATAGTTTTGTGAATAATATTCACTTTTATTGTTCAAATTGCAGTTTATACATAAACAAGCAAAAATCTTCTTTATTAACTTTCTTTGTTTAATATGTGGTCCTTTATCTTTTGCATAATTATGTTAGAGTACAAGCAATAGATGTGTACAATACTACAAAATAGTGCTAACTATTAACAGAAAACAATAGAAATAGCATACTTGAGTATTTAGTGGTATTTTGTACACTTCTGTTTGTACTCTGCTTTATAAAATCATTATAGTTGTTTCCAAAGACTCATGAAATTCACTGTAACCGTCGTTTTCTTCCTAATTTACGTGTACTACACCTTATTATTGGACTTTGTTTCACAGGGTTTTACATTGACTCTAATTGAAAATGGCAACAATTCATTAGAATGCATATTCATTATATCTGTGAAATATTTTGTAAGAAACTGCACAAAATTGCACTAATTCATGATTTCACTCCAAATTGTTAAATTCAGTTTTCAAACAATTCTACGAATATAATCTATCATACATATATAAACAGCTACCTTTCTCATTTTTATTAATTTTCACATGTATTTATTCAGCCCGAGTCACATGCAGTCTTAGACTGCCTATTTTTTTGTTTGTGTGTTCATTCAGGTAATTAAATCTAAAAAGACTGGTCTCACATAAGCAAAAGTAGCATATAGACCCCTTGCATGTGACGTCAAAGAAGCTTCATCTGGAGGACAAAACAAAAGATTTTTGCCCTCTTGGGAACTAGAATCTATTCATATGTCCTCCAGTTGTAGTTGCATTCCAACGAACTGCAAGGGGTCTATATCCAAAAGCATCAACATAAAGAGAACAAGCCAACACCTTACGAGTTGAATAAAAATATTTTAAGGGTTTATGGTCCTAACAAATAACTTATAGCTAAAAATGGGCTGCTAGGATCATGTGACAAATTTCATTTGGTACAATAGATATGGTGCAGTGATACATTAATTTCAAATATATTCCTTTTGTATCAGTTCATTAATACTCCAGTTTAAAATCTCTTGTCTTTTAAATTTACGGCATATGATGTAATATTCTCTATTTATATAGAATGTTAGAGTGGTTTTCATTAACCCGTGAAACACACTTTAGTGTATTTATTGCTATTACACTTTGGCTCTTTTGTTTTTTATTTTCTCTATGCAACTATTGCGTTCTATTACACTCTAATTATTACACTTTGTTTCACGGTTTTATGAAAACCACTCTAATATTCATGGAATTTGTGTACTTATGAAAAAGAAGGGTTGTTCTTAGTCCTTAACACAATTCATTTACACTTTTCAACAGTAGCTTTTGTTCTCGAAGTCTCCAAAAATAAAAATGTAAATCACTTTTTTAAGATATCACTTTTTTAGGAGAGAGATTTTCTGGTCCTTCATTAGAGTTTACGTAATAAAATACCATTTTTTGCATAAAGACAGTGGTCTACGTGCAGGTTTTTAAAAGGTTCTAGATTTTTAGTATTTTTTTGAAATAAGTGGTCTAATTTCTCAATATTGGCATTTCATGAATCTTGACATAAAATATATATTACTAATTTAGTATAACAAACTTCTTGTGTGTTTTGCCTTCTGCCAAGCAATCTCCAAATTGTAAATGTAACATCTTGTGGGCTTCACTTAGCAAAGCACAAGAATCCTGACATTTGAAATCACAAATAGAAACTTAATACTTTGATTACTAAAAGGCCCACATGCATCCAAGAGAATTTGTAATTTCCTGCCATCCCATATTTACTGTCTGTTTATATGGAAGATGTGTCTCCACTAAAAATTGTTATGAAAATTGTTAGAGACTTAGGAGCAAAAGAGTTAAGAAGCTCCTACTAGATTACAAACATTAAATGTGTGCAACACATTCCACTATTTACTACAAAATAGTGTTAATTAAACAATAGAACACAATAGAATTAGCAGTATTTATGTTGCACAGTACAAACACTAAAACTGTGCAACATAAATACCACTAAATACTGTTAATATATGCTAATTCTATTGTTTTCTATTGTTTAATTAACACTATTTTGTAGTATAGTGCAATGTGTTGCACGCATTTAATGTTTGTATTCTAGTGTTTGTACTCTAACTAAACTTAAGTATATTCTTTTGGGCATAGAGTTTGAATACAAAAAGGATTACGAGAAGATTTATTATTCATATAAGTTCAGTATGCCGTCGATTGCCTTTGGATTAAGGCCGATTAAATAAAATATACACTAGTAAAAATGATAAATATTCTCGTAATCCTTTTTGTATTGTACTGTAACCTTTTAAAAAATATATTGGTCGATCTTGATTTTTTATACTTGTTTTTTTTTTGTGAGCTACAAAGAAGCATTTTGAAGGAGTTAGTCACTCAAAATAAAGAGGTTTTTTTGTGTTGTCGATTTTATACACAATCGGCTGTGGTACTGAAATGGTTTGCCTGTGGTATAATGATTACTTGGAAACGAGGACATCTCAAACGGCGCAATCGCGATAGCAAAACCTCGTGAGAATTTTGTCTTCGTCATTGAGCTTCATGTGCAAAGCGGTCAATGTTAAATATATCCCTGGACATCTATCTAAAGGTGCTAAATGGTTCGAGAAATGGTCATGAAGTCATTGAAGTTTGTGTTTTGCAAAGCAGAACGGGAAAACTTTTGACTCAGTGGAAACGTTCTATCGACATCTTGAGGCTTCCATTTCAACCCGCCTCGGCGAGTAGTGGACAACATTCAAAGATAAGTCTGACTAGAGTGGTTTTCATCAACCCGTGAAATTGCGTTAGAGTATTACACGTTATTGCTCTTTGTTTGTTTGTTTTTCTCTTTTTGGTGTTTGCTTAATCTCACGGAATTACTTCCTAGACTTACTTGAATAAGCTTACCTTAAAAGATTAAGCTTTATAGAGGATTTGTTTTTCACACGTGTTTATGAAAATCACTCTATTTAAAATAATTATTTTAGACTATCTAGTGCAATTACATTACTAATTTCCGATTTGAGGCTAAAGAAAGCGAAGTAGTATGATATATTTGGATTCAAAATAATATTCTGAGACAAAAAAAAAGCGCGCGAAAAATTTTGTGGATGCGCGCGCGCATATTAAATGTTGCCATTGGTTACATTGTCTTACCGGCGCGATATCTGAGGGTTTTTGTCTAAAATGGCAACTTCAAATTCGCGTTTTTGCCGGTTTTGTGCCAATCACAACTTTGCAACACCAATAATCAATCACAGGGGTAATTGTCCATTTGCTTCTTGTGCTTGCACTAACTGCACCAATTTGAGAGCACGAAATGAGAGAGAAAAAAAGCGTAGGCAGGAGAGTGCTGCTGCAAAAAAAGCACTTGTCAACTCCATGTCCAACACTGAAGTTGTACCTGTGATGCTGAATGAGCATTCTCAAAATCCACAGTCGAATGCTTCGAAAAGAGCAGGTCTGATGTTAAGCTTGAACTTTATGGATGAATTAAAACATTTTTTATCATAATTATCTATGACCACCTTTATTTCTCTCTTTTGAAAAGTTTGACATGTTATTTTTATAACACATTTTTGACATAATAAGAGGCATGTCACGATTTGCATCTATAGAGGCTTGAATACTCGTTTATTTTTAAATCTGTTTACTCATATTGCATTTTTATTGAATTGTTATTGTTTTCTCTTCTTGACATGCATAAAAAATGCACATGCAAGGCGTGAAAACAAAAAGAATACAGAAATCTCCAATTACATAACTGATTTCTTTCAAAATCTGGACAAGGATGAAAGTAAATTGCCTTTCATGATAAATATGAAGAAGGCATTTTTATCTTTTAAACCTAGCAATGTAAGTATATTTAATAATTATGATAAGTATACTAATGGTACATACTGATATAAACATTAGTATAAACATACTAATGGTCTATCACTCATACTGCGCTGTGATTAGCTACTCTACTAATGGTCTAATTTGTGATAGACCACTCGCGGGAAAATCAAAATGGCGGCATCTCATTAATAAATTATTTAAAGGATATTTCAATTTGTTTTCATTAATTGACCGATTAGTATGTTTATACTAAAACAATTAGACCTCTCGGCCTCGTGGACTACGACCTAATAGCCCATTCGGCCTCGCGGACTCAGCCTCATGGTCTATTAGCTCGTAGTCCACTCGACATCGAGGTCTAATTGTTAAGTATAAAATTCCATATTGTGTAGTTCCAGAAAATATCTATACACCCACAACGGAGGGATCAAAAATTCCTGGAACTACACATTTCCTTTTCCTTTTGATTAATTGAAATGAGCAGTCTTATTTATTTTTCAAACATTTTTGATAGAATTTACAAGTACAAAATCCATTACAACCAAATGGTCTGGCAGTTTCACCTTTCCAGCCAAACAATGTAAGTATAAAAAAATGATTTGTATAGGTAATAAGATGGTTTCGAGTTCAATTTGGAATTAATTTGCACAAGTTTGTTTTTCAAAGAGGCCATAATTGCGTGAACTCGAAACCATCTTATTACCTATTAATAATATACATGAAAAAATTGAAGCCAAAACTGACAAGGCTAGACAAGGAGCCAACGATAAAAACAACATGTAAGCCAAAATATCATCAATGCATACTAAGTCTTTTTATTTTCTTCTTGACAAACAATTATTACACTTGTCTTACTATCAAAGCTAGCAAAAAAACACCAGTTTATAACATATAAGGCTTTCTGTTGTACAAAACAATTAAAAAAAATTGAAGCATTTCAAAACTTGTACTTTGTCATTTTTGATAAAAAACATGATTTACTCCATTTTAAAGCAATTTATTTGAATTTGAACAGTAAAAACTTTGTCAATTAAACAGAAAAATACCTTTTGCTGGCTAATGTGGAAAAAAGCCAGTATTTGAGCTGGTTTCACGTTGAAACTGTACTGAATTTCATCGAGCTGGACGGGTGAGGAAGGCGARACTATTTYCGATSCAAAATCGTCTTAAAATGGTAACTAGCAAGCTTGAAACTTCACAAATACAAAATCCTAGTCCAATTCTTCGGTGAGAAAGCTTGTGTTATTTCTTTTAAGCAGTTGATAGTTTTTGAGTGCTTTTTTTTCTGTTATCGGCGAAGTGTCCGCCATCTTGGATCTTGAGAAAAGTTTTCAGTTACAAAGAAAGCTTGTTTCTTAGCCAATCAAAAGCGCAAATTTGATTGTAATTGCACTGATATTACAGCTTTTTGCACTGTTCAATCTGTTGTAATTGCACTGGAAAAATGTAATTTGTAAAGTAAAAACTAACGCAAGTAAGTTTGTATTGGTTAACATTTTAATGTTGAGCTCGACGTTTCGACGCTATCCGGCGTCATTCTCAAGAGAAAATTACATTGAGATATTCAAAAACAGAAAGTTATAACAAGATTGAGTAAAGTCCCATGCGGATAATGTTATGTAAAGATTTTCGCCTTAATAGAGTCTGATTGGACGTTGAGGGATGGCTTGATCTTTTTAATGAACAGCATCTCGTAAATGAGACAGTCCGTTTTGCTCGAGCACTTTTTAAGAATTTTAAAGTTAGCGCTCAAGTCTGGTACCTTTGTAAAACCGTGGGAGGATTTATAGTGATTTCCGATGCTTGAAAGGTGGTGTTCCTGTATTCTCTGAGAATAGATCAAGAAGATCAAGCCATCCCTCAACGTCCAATCAGACTCTATTAAGGCGAAAATCTTTACATAACATTATCCGCATGGGACTTTACTCAATCTTGTTATAACTTTCTGCATTTAGGAGGGGGGAGGGGAATTGTCTCACATCAGAGAAATTTTGATTCAAAATGATGGAGTAAATGACGTCATCTACTCCAACATTTTTTGCCCAAATTATTAAGGATTTGCATGAATATCTTCTTAGAATCTGTTGCTTCATGATTATTAGACCCATATGGATAGGTGTATTTGATTTCCAAGTCTTTTCTAATGTTTCGCAATTTTCGTCCATGTAGCCCTTTAAGTCTTACAGAAAACGACCTTCGACACCTTCAACGGGGACTTACGTTGATCACAATCTAAGAATTGAAAAAATCACTATAAAAATGTTTGAAAACCACGACAAAAATTAATGCAAAATACGTAAATTGAAAGCAATGCAGCTTATTTTCGAGTGATCGGTGTTTGTAAACAACATATGGTCAGCGGTTTCTTCAAAGAAATTAATGGCGTCTCGGTCTTGGTCGCAGATCACCATTCGTAGTTCTTTTTTTTTCTTGTGAGTCTCCTTTCTTTGAACACTTGTTAATAGAAAGTAACTATACTAGGTAAAAGATAAGTTTTTCCTACAGCAATGATTTTTGCATGTTTTTAAGCACTTCCACGAAGTTAGACGATGCGTTGTTTTTGAACGATCTGACAGTTTTACAATTGCGTTCTCATAAACAGGCCTTGCTTTGGAGAGAATAGTTATTCTCATTCATTTCCAAGGGGGGAAATTAATTTCCTAGGGGGGTAAAACTCGGATTTGGAATTCATAAGGAGAGAGGGGGATACCCAATTTCGGAATTTCCTAAGGAGAGGGGGAGGTCGAAAATCGATGCCGCTCGTCGTATGGTACGGATATTTTCTGGAACTACCCAATTAAAATGAGCAGTATGATTACTATTTTTGAAACATTTTTATAGACTTTACACACAGTACAGAATTCATGCCAAGGATCGAATAGTCTTCTGGGAGAGATGTTTCCAGACATCCCTCAATCTACCATTGACATGATGTTGGATGCTTCTGGAAGTGTGGAAAATGTTGTTGAGCAGCTTGTTGATGTCCCATCATCAAACATGCAGGGTATGTTGACTGCTAATAATTCAGCTTCACAGGCTGAATTATGTGCTCAGTCAACACCTGCATGTTCGACCATGCAACATCAACAAGCTGCTGTCTCATGCAATGAGGATGTCACCCGCCTGAATGTTCTCTTTCCTAATAGAGTGGGTGACATCCCAAATATTTATGGGGCACTTAATTATGATTTCAAAGCCACCATTGATTTCCTTTTGCCTGATTCAAACAATACTAATGTTATTTCTTTTTCTAACAACACTGTACCAGATATTCAAGGCCCTTCAAACTCTTGCTCTTTAAATCTTAGTCAGCCGCTCATGCAAAGAGGGTCATCCGTTTCCACTGCTGATGCCCCTGGGAGACGGCCCCAGAGGTGTGAGTACTGTGGAAACGAATGGCCTTCTTTGAATGGCAACAACTACTGCTCTTATTGTGGAATGCACAAGAAACGTTTTAGGTATTGGAGTGGACTAGTTGAACCAGAAACTTATAAGGGATTGAAACGTATAGCGCCCATACATTTCTTTACTACCAAGCGTCAGAATATTCAGAGCTCATTAAACATTTGAAAACGAACCGTATGACCATAATTGGATGGCCATTGGATAAGAGATTTAAGGCCCATTTAATTGGTTGTCTAGGGTTAATTTTAATTGTTCCAAATAAATTTGCATATTCCAATGGATGGTACAGCTCTACATGTTTCAAGTCCCTTAAAGGTTTCTGGTTGAACATAATTAGAATTCTGTTAGGATTGCTCTAGTTAAGTCCCTAATCAAGTTCAATRGTCATTGTTTTTTGTAATTATAGTGACAGTCTGGAGATCACTCTATTACCTAAAACTGTTCTTGGTATTACACCTGATTGTTTAGACATAAATATTGATTTTTTTGACTCATTTAGTAAGTCTTGTCAGAACAAATTGTGTACAGAATTCTCAAGACAATTTGCATAAATCTCAAGTGTAGCAGTTTTACTTTGCATTAGTGTCGAATAATGTACCATATAATATTGAAATTCCTTCATCGCCAGTTTGGTCACACTCAAATCAGAATGCAAATTGTTTTGACATTTGAATTTTTGTAGCTAGAACTCAAGTAAATCTCTTGTGTTTTAAGTGCTTGTGCTGCAAATGAAATATTATTCATTGTATCCTTTTGCTTTGATCTTCATGAATAATTGACAAAAACATTCATGAAATAATGTCAAAAATATTGACACAAAAATTTCTAAGGATAATTGCCTTTATTGATGTGGCAAAAAAATCAGAACAAAAGTCGAACATTTTCAATGCTTCCAGTTTCATTAAATAAATGACAAAGAAGTATATTATAGATAATTTTAGTGATATACATAAACATCACTGAAGTCCCTTATTGATCATATTTTCAGCTTTTTGAGTAGTGGCATGTTTCAAGAACTATTAACGGTCTTTCAAATATGTACTCTTGGTCATATGCTTAATACTCATAATATTCTATGGACAAAATGATAAAATTAAAATCAGTAAAAAAATATTTATTTTTATCACATATATACTTGCTAAATATATGGTACAAACCCAATGTTATGAATACTGTCTGGGCTAGTATGCAACAGTGGTAAATTATCTTATTGTTTTTCCATTGAAGCACTATGTACCACTTTAATTGCTGACATTGCACAATTTTAGTGCTTGCATTTATCTAGTAAGATATTTTTATAGTCAAACTGCTATTTGCAACTTCCTAAGCAACAAGTTGAGTACAGCTATATTTATTATAAATTTGTAACTGTTGGTTAATAAAAGATAAGTGTCTTCTTTCCCAGTACTCACAAAAATTGCTCTATTGTGCTCTATTTGTGTATCTATCATTACGCCCATTGCTATTTGCTGCAATTAAAATGTTCAGATTTCTGCTGTTTTTGAAAATATATCCAGACGTTTGTAGACTTATTGCTTGCATTTAGCATGGAAAAGCAACTCCTCAAATTATTAGATTTAACAAATTTGAGTAAATTGCCAACCTGCAAACTCCAGTTTGGTTGCAATAAGATAGGGTGATATGTCAGAGTGCGAGAAGGTTCTAAGGAGACTTGTGGATGACTGAATGTAATAAATAATACCAAATTATATTGATTTTCTTTAATATAACTTCAGTGATGATGTTGTCACTTGAAAGGAAAGGAAATTTTGAATTATCCTTGATAGGAAAAATGTTTACACAGCAAAAATATGCACTTTCATAATTTGTTTGACAATCACAGTGCTTTCCATGAGGACATGCACAAAAGGGGGCTTTCATTTATTAGCTCACTCAGCAGGAGGTTAAATATATTTATACTTGTTATGTAAGGGGGCTTATACTCATTGCTCTAATAATAGGGGGACTGGGTTGTGATGATTGATTCATCATAACATCCTGAGCTGGCTATTATAATGTTTGCAGACATATAGAATCTTAGTAAATGAAAGCCCCCTAAATCAGTGTAAGCATGCATGTTTTGGGAATATTTAAAACAAAAATTAACACCCACAGGCAGTCGAAAGATAATAGAAGTATTGAATAAATAAATTTTCTTGTTTGTTCTGGCTTTTAACTTTAAAAAATTATAAAATGACTTAAATCAAACCAGAAATAAAGCAATCACCCTACAAGTAAGTATATAGTCAACCCTTTCAGGTCACCTTACTACAAAAATCGTTTGGGCTACCTGTGTTCGTCCAGCGGCGTTTCACACAAACACTTGCTAGCTTTTTCTGTAGAAGTTTTGGACTGCATGGCGTGTCACCTGTGAAAATGCGTTTACTATAGCAAACGGCATATTGTTTCTTAGCAGACCTGGAGTTCTTCGAGCACATGTCTTGGCCACTTCATTCACCATCTCGATAGGATTCAAATCGTATGAGTATGTTGGTAGTTTGACAAGTGTTAAGTTTCGTGGTAAGAGCAGCTGCACCAGATCTTGTTCGTTATGGATTGAAGCATTGTCCATAACAATAAAAGAACCGGGAGGTACCAGGGCCAAAAGAAACTGAGCTAAGACAAAATTAAATCTTATTCTATTGAAGTTACCATGTATTGGATAAGCACCAAGAACTCCACCATCAAATCCAATTATCGCGAGAACTGACATTTTGACTCGAGCATCACCCTTTCTTACATAACTTGGCAGAGATTCATTTGTATGACACCGTCCGATTGTTCTTGTATCGCCATCAAGCTGAAATGCTGTTTCATCTAAAAAATATATCCTTCTTGGATCGATTGTCATTCTCCATCGGAAAAATGCTTGTCTTTGAGCCATGTTGAGTGGTGTAAAGCGCTCGGTTGCTACCTTAGTGGCTTCATGACGCGTCAGATCTAGTTCTTTTAATTTCCTGCAGATGACTGATAATGAAGGTATTTCACCAGCTTGATTTTTGATTTCAACATGTATTGGATCTCCCACTGACCATTCAAAGTACTGTAGCAGGGATAATTAATGTTGGAATTTCTTTTATCATGTACCTTGAGTTTTAGTTTCTTGATAGTTGCTCACACTTGTAACAGTTTTGTCATAATCAACTGAGGATCCACCTAGAAATTGCAAATAATAATTTAAACAAGTGCCCTATCAAATACTAATGACAATTGTTCTGATAAAACACATCCCATTGCATTATAATAAAATGCATGACTCAGGATATTTATTGATTTAGTAAGAGCAAAATATTTTAATGTAAAAATTCCTGGGGACATATTTTTATGTTGCTTGCTTATAGTTATGTTCTCTTCATCATCCCCAAGGACCCAATGAAGATCTTCTGGGAAAACGAAGAAAGCGCTCATGAGGCGTTTCATTTGTTGCTGTACACAAAAGTGAATGAACTGAGTGAAGGACGTCTGGAAGCACATCTTGACAGTGGTCTTCTGAGAGGTTTCTTGACTTAAGACATGTTGTAATTGCTGTCCATATAGTCCCGTTATACTTCTCTACCTGGCCATTTCCTGCCGGATTGTAGCCCGTCGTGCGGCTAGTAGTGATGCCTTTCTCGGTCAAGTAGGTCTGAAACTCCTTACTCATAAAGGACACACCACGGTCAGAGTGGACATATGAAGGCATCCCAAATAAAGAGAACAACGTAGACAAGCAGCTGATGACAGTCTGTATAGAGACATCTGAGCATCGAAATATGAAAGGAAATCGTGAAAATTCATCAATGATGTTCAAAAAAATACCTGTTCTTGTTTGTTGATGGCAAAGCTCCTTTGAAATCAATGTTGACTCTCTCGAATGGTTGTGTAGCTTTGATGAGGTGTATCTCTGCTGGACGATGAAATCGAGGTTTGCATTCACAACAGATATTACAAGCATTCGTAATTCTCTTTACTTCCTCAAGCGAGTAGGGTAGATTCTTTGAGCGGATGTAGTGCCACAACCTTGTGATTCCTCCCACAACAGATATTATACTAATACAAAGTAATGCGAATTCTAATAAATATAGTTCACATATAAATCCGTTCAAAACAATAATCAGTTCACGCATAAAAGAATAAAGGTTGCACATTTCGGCGGAATATCCTGATTATCATTGTGAGATGCCATGTATCAAAACATAACATTCATATTTTACTTCGAAATCATTACATGTTGATCCCAGACTTCCAAAAAAGTACAGTCATCTTACAAAAAATAAAATTGGCATCGCACAAAACATATTTAACATAAAATAACTACCTCCAAGGTTTTGCTTCTTCATATATGTTGGTACACTCGGCTGAATTTTTGCTCGGCCCACAGGGCCTAGAGCTTAGTTCTACAGATTGAAATCCGAAAGGGCAGAAAAAAGTAACATTTCATAACAACGCACGCTCGTCAAAACTCGTTAAAGCGCGAACGAAGACGAACATGGTCGAGCTTTGGCCGTCAGCTCTAAGGATAGTTTTCGATCGTAGAATTCCTTGCGATTTTCCGCCGAGCATGGACGAGGAAACATCGAGTAGCTTTTTTCAGCATTCCTTTGGCTTTTTTTCGGAAAGTCAGAAAATTTCGGAAGCACATGGGAAAATCCTCTTTCCCTGGAGACTTCTTCTGAAGGGTGAAGATTTGAATTGCTTTTCTTTACGAAGGTAAATCCATCTACATGCAACGTTTGTATCTGTACTGTCTCTCTATCATAAATTTAGAGAATCAGTTTGATATCTTACGTGTTATTTTGGGAAGTTTGTACTTTCGATGTTGATATTTTTGACTAKATTTTTGTCAGTTCTCAACATTGCATTGTTTGCTTGATTCAAACATTAAACATTTTCTTTGTAAAGTTCACAGTATGATTCAACTGACAAATAACAGCATCATGTCTGATATAAACCTAATATACATACGAAATGAACTCAAACTCGAGATGCCATTTAGCCTATTGTGTCACCAAAGCTACAAGAAATCAAAACAAACAACTCGAACGCCATCTTACCCACGTGCAAATCAAGTACCTACGCAAACGAAATCGAAGCCTATGTTACCGAAATTTAGTTATCTTAAGCTCATGTGTACAAAGCGTCAAATGTTTTTAAACGCATTCGAAATCGAAGCCGTGAATAAAGAAAGCTTGTGTTTTAATTTAGCAAAGCATCAGCACAGGAAAGGACAGTTAAGCCAATTTTCAAATGTTTATTGTAATCATAATCACAGGAAAAACCATTGCTGTTTTCGTTTGATGAGCATAGAAAAGAATCCCGGACCACGCAATACTATCGACTACACGAAAACAATTCAGGCACCTTACTGTCAGGGAAATATTGCGATCTTTGGTGAGAATGCTGGAAAACAGTGCGTTGCAATGTCGTTTTGCTATTTGCTTTTTATGGAGAAGTACACTACATGTTCACCAGAACTTTTAATAAAAATTATGCACACAGGTAATGAACTGTATTCATATCTTTCTCGTAGTTGTGGACAGTCATTTTTATTAATTACCGAGTTACCTACAAGAATAGCAGTTGATGGCACAGATTATCAAATTTATTACAGTGAAAGTTACACTTCTACAATGCATGGTATAGCACAGATCGATGGGTTCGATTACAATATGCAATTTGATCATGCATTTCAACTTTTAATGAGCAGAGGTTTTAAATATTTCTTGTTGACTATTGATTCTAGTACTGTTGGCATTTATTTATGTCAAATAACATTTTTAAAGTATTTGATTCACATTCTAGAAATGTATATGGTATGCCTTATGCACAAGGAACTTGTGTTCTCTTGGAAATTGAGGGAATTTCAAATTTGAAGGACTATTTTGATAGTGTCTCAAATCAGAATTCTGTATTTGAACTCAATGGTTTGCATATAAATATAATCTTAACAACTGATTCTGATGAGAATAACAGGTCTGAAAGCAGTCAATTGGCTCAATCATCAAGTAGAGATGAATTAATACCAAATAATCATCAAAAATCAAAAAATAGTAGTGTCCAATCAGGTCAAAATTTCATATCCTTCAGTTATGCTGTATCACTCTATGCTATATGTTTTTCAACTATTAAACCGTGTACTTACTGGAAGTCCAGGTCATCAACATCTGACAAAATGTTTGACCACGCAGAACAGTTTTATTCCTTGTGTTTAAATAGACACAATCAACAGCCTGATCATACATTATTTAATGCCATTGATATACACGATACAAGGGTAAATGTAGAGTATGGTGTGTCGTTTAAAGGAAACTTGTCTTCCAAGGCAGACAAAAAGCAACTAGAAATATTTTTAGCTCAGAATGTCCATAATACTGGATTTGTAATTTCAACATCTAACGATTACACAATTGCTTGGATTAAGTTTCGTTTGGCGAATTGTGGCCATGAGTAACTGTGGACCAGTTACATAATATTAAATGATCAGCTCAGTCAATCAGTGATTTTTCAGCAACAAAATAGGATGCTTTCAATCGTAGTATATATCTGTGCTAGGTCAAGGCGTCCACCCATTCGTAAGACTCCATCGTTGTCCAAAAACGGGTTGAGAGCGAATAAGTTGCTTTTTAGATTGCCAATAACCTTCTTTTTCAGATGGCTGATTTCCTTGGAAAATCCATCAGCTTGCGCCGACTTGATCGACAGAATAAAGAGCTCTTTAATTCTGTCGTGACGAGAGGACCAGACCTCTTGTACCTTGGAATCCATCGTCGACACCATGCCACCACACGAATCAGCTTAGAAAAGGAAGAATAGGAAATTGACCAAATACGTCAACGCTTGGAGTTAGAACTGCATTAGCTGCTATGACTTCTTGATAAATTCTTTGCTCAGAGCAAACATCTTCTATGTGCAATACTCTGGGTTGGTTAAGCCACAGTTCAGATCCTTTGATTAACCATGGAGGTCCATTGAACCATAGTAGATGAGATAATAGATAAGTAGGGGAAATCCGTCGACTCTTACAGTCAGCTGGGTTGCCTTGCGAAGGACAGTAGCGCCAATTCGGCGGGTATACCAAATCAAAGTCAAAGTCAGTCCAACAAAACGAAATCAACGTCAGAAATGAAAACGCAGCTTGGACGNGTAATGTTTAAAGGCCGACAATGAGGACTTGACGGGGTTTCAAAGTCCGCGCAATTAGTTCCAGTCCGAGGCGCTAGCCGAGGACTGGAACTAATTGCAAGGACTTTGAAATCCCGTCAAGTCCGAATTGGAGGCCTTTGAACGACTTCAAAAACTCATTAATTATTCGGGAGGGAAAAAAAGCGAAGGAAATACATATAACAGAAATATATTGATTTATTGCATCTCCACTAAGGTTTTCAGTTTTCATAATTTTGAATACATGAAGCACCGTTTGTTGTTCTTCAATTCCCGGACGGCTTTCTGAAACAAAAGCTATTCAAATTGTATTTGTCTGCTATTCATGGCATTCCTAATGAGCCTAATCCAGCGCATATAGACTGGACGGTAGGGGATCGAGTCGTGAGGGAGTTCATTTATCAAAGACCTTTTTTCACTAAATTAATGTTAAACTGATTATTTCCAATAATTTGATTATCATTAGCTAGTAGTAGTTGGAAACATGGTAGAAGTAACTGGAAATAAGGTAGAAATAACTGGAAATAATGTAGAAGTAACTTGAAAAAGGTAGAAGTAACTGGAAATAAGGTAGAACACAAGGTACGAGTACTTCCTCTGGTTTCAAGTTACTTCACGTGGTACAAATTACAATCAGGGATTGGCTGAATACCTTATGAATAATTGAGTTTTTGAAATGTATATGGTATGCCTTATGCACAAGGAACTTGTGTTCTCTTGGAAATTGAGGGAATTTCAAATTTGAAGGACTATTTTGATAGTGTCGCAAATCAGAATTCTGTATTTGAACTCAACAAGATGTCATTAATGATTGATAGTAATTGTGAAGAATTAGCTTTTCCTGTATTATTTCCAAAAGGAAGGTTTGATTTTAAAGTGCAACGAGATACGAAATTATCTCCAGTAAAGTACTTTAATGCAAGATTACTACACCATAGTGGAAAATKTGCATCAAATCCAGAATATTTATTTTTTGCCCAGTTCATTATTGAACAAAAGAAAATCTCAGACAGTATCAATGTTGCTTTGACAAAAATTCAARGGCAATCCTTGACAGCTTCAAATTTAAAAATCAAATTTTCAGCAGTTAAAAAATCTCATTTACCAGGACAAGGCATATCTATTTCTAAGAAAAATCCCAGGAACACCACCGTATTGGCAAAAAATTATGTACGAAGTCATTGCAATGGTCAAACAACTTGGAATACCTACATGGTTTATGACATTGTCCTGTGAAGATCTCAGATGGAATGACCTTTTTCAAATAATAGCCAAAATAAAAGGAATGAATTACAGTGATGATGACATTGCTAGATTGTCCTATAACGAAAGGTGCTCATTACTCAATCCTGTCATTGTTGCAAAGCATTTTCAGTATAGAGTTGAAACCTTTTTTACTGAGGTACTCCTGAGTAATTCAAATCCAATTGGAAAGATTGTGTATTATGCACTTAGAATTGAATTTCAAATGAGAGGATCTCCTCATTTACATGCACTTATATGGAATTCAGACTGCCCTAGGTTAACAAATGAAACCAAAGC